AACTATACATTTGCATTTGTTATGATTACATTACATGTGATGAAAAACTAGCCAGTTGACAACTTCTCCTTCGGTGTCTTTGCCTCTGCCATGATGTCTGTAGAGGATGCTGAGCCTGGTTACGTTGTCTGATGGCCCGTCGCTGGTTCTGATGCCCATTTAGGCTCTGCTCCCCGTTAGCACTCCTGAAACTCTCTTCCTCCCAGTGGTCCCAGTGGTCCAAAGCTCCTGTGCTAGCAGTATAAACATCAACGGTGCACTATTGAGCACTCACTGAGCAAATTAGCTAACGGCAGCTAAGTTACAGGTCGCAGCAGTTAGTGGTTATTTTACTGTCCATCGGAAATTCTGTAAATCATGGAGAGTTGAGGCCCAGCCAGAGGACATCAGAAGGAAAACCAGAAAACATTTTCTCCATAATTTATGATCCAGTTTCACCAAAATCTGGGACATAGTTGGGGATGTTTGACTAAGTGGTTGTAAAGTGAACTTAAAGTGAACTGACACCAAATTACGTAGTATGAACAGGCATACAGGGCACAGAGTGGGAATAACAGAGACACCTTTGACCCTATCATAGGTGGCATCAAAATGAATAAGTTACTTAATGTTGCTTTAATTTGTGCCTGACAGAGAATAGTAAAGGTTGAGAGAGAGTTATAATAATATGTTAGGGTCCCTATAACCAGTACACCTGTTTCAGCGGTTAAAGATGCACACAACATCACACCATCAGTCACCATGCACCTGTTCTTACACACATACACACACATACACAGACACACACACACACACAGCGAGTGGTGGCAGCTAGGCGACGTCTAGGCCATGTAGGGTCAGTCATTAATAAAGTGCACCAGATGGTTTGTCTGGAACACAACTGTGTTGAATAGCCACAGGAGGGATGGATGGAGAACTAGATGAAGTAGGAAGCGGAGACAGAAGGAGGCCTGAGAGAGAGGGACGTTGGGAAGAAAGGCTGTGTGGTGAAGCTGGTGGTTTGTGCCTATAGTTTACATTAACCTTACAAATGAAGCACACTCTGCAAAAAAAAATCATGCAGATATTTACCTTTTCTTATCAAGGTGGAGCAGATCTTACTCTGTGTGATTCAGTGATTTTAGCATTCCTCAATTTACTATTCCTTGCAGCACAGATATATCTAAGGTGGGTCTGGACTTAAAAGCAGGTATGATGAACTGGTTAATTGAACTGTCAGTACAGCCCATTCTCCAGAATACAAGCAGTCTCACTCAGTCACTTGTGTGTAGAGAGTGTGTTTAGGGTAATGAGCAGGGATAGATAATGAGGAATGAAATTGGTTTGTTTGAGAAAGGTTCCCAGATCCCTTTGATATCCTGGAAATGTATAGACTATCTGTCTGATCCTGGAAAACACTGATTTGGACAAATGCAGAAAATTACCTAAAGTACGTAAACTGAGGTTAGCAAAAAGAGTAACTGACATTATGTAAAATTGACAAACAGCAGACTTCCTTAAGTCAGTTAGTTGTTTTTCCACATTTGGTCCTTTGTTATGTGAGCACCTAGTTGGCTGTTAGCACTTCTAAAAAGGGTGTAAAAATGAGCCATAAAAATCTACTATATTACTACTACTACTATATTGATGATGTTAGATTAAAAATGTGGTTTTGCTTTAGCAGTCTGATTTCCAGCCATGAGAAAAGCACATATTTGAATAGAAAAACGACAGATTTGTCTCAGTAAGTCAGTGAGTGAAGCAAAGAAAACACATAGATCTGGATAGGATCCAGCTGTGATGTGGTCCAGGTGTTTAGAGGTATCCGTAGGTCTAACTTTTACCTATTGTAATAGATGATATATGAGAATGCAAGATCGAGCGGAAAGCAGAGACAGATGGAAAGAATAGGAGACCACAGGGATGGAGGGATGGAGGGAGCATGTTGAGAATAAAGGGATGTGAATGCTATTAGCTTGGATCTCCATAATCATCCCCAGGTGACTAGAACTTAGCCTTGATAAATGGACTTGGTAAGTAGAGGTGTGTGTGTGTGTGTTTGGAGGTCTATTGGTCTATCAGCAGCTGCTGAAGAGAAAGAGAGAAAAAAGTGAGGAGATTAGCTATTCTAGTGGGACAGTGTTTTAATTTCCCTAGGTTGTAATTGGTTAGGAACTCCATTACCCACAAGACACTACTGCGGCAGCTGTCAAAGTGAAACAGCTGGCCAGCCACTAGTAGCTTCATCTCCTAGCTTCACTATCATTTATCTACGCCTCGACATACACACAAACACTTGCATAGACGCACACACAGACACATACATGCATGCGTTTTTCCCCTCTCTATTTCAAACGCAGGCTCTCTCACAGACATATCAGGGGAGATAATAACACTTGACTAAAGGCAGTCTAACAGGTATTAAGGTGGAGTTAATGGTTAAGTTGCTGTCTTGGGCTGGGTAGGCCTGAACTTAACTGGAATGTAATAATGGAAGGGATAACACATTGCATTTTAATGGTCACAGTTTTCACTTGCAACATTCAAAATCTTTACCCGAATAAGTCGTCAGTATGCTGGCCATCCTGGAGTTTTAACTAGCTGGAGGGACTGACAGTAACAGTGTTATAGAGGGTGTAAAAAATAAAGATCTCCAGTAGGTCTCAGTATAAAAACACATAGAAGTGTGTGAATATGAGTCTTAATGGCATGATGTTGAAATGAAGTTTGATGACGTTTTATAGTTCTATAGTTTATAGTATCGTCTGACTCAAAATGAAGAGCAGCTGTGAGACATTTAACCTATGTTGAGTGTGATCATAGCTCACACATACATATGATCATATTCCTGTGTAAGTTTAGCATATCACATTAAGCCTGGCAGAATAAAATGTTATCGTTCTCCCTCTGTATTAACAGTTTATAATATATAACTTGAGTACACCTTAGTTAACATAACATGCAGCTCAAGTCAATATAGTTGGAACATGTAATGTGTAATGACCTTTGTAGAGAGAGACAGACACACACAGACACGCCATCACCATATGTGACTAGTCTCATCTGTGAATGCTTTTTAGGAAGTGTTTATCCTTTGCACACACACATCCAACCACACACTGAATAATGCCCAATGGTTTTCTTGAAGGTAATATACACACACACACCCAACACACACACACGCACGCACGCACCACAACAAACCACGCTGTGGGCGTGGCTCTATTAGCACTAACATCTGCCTGTCATTAGTGAAAGACAAACAGGCACTACCGGGTGAGCCAGAAGCTAATACAGTTACGGCCTAAGGGCAGATCCGTGTTTACCCCTTGCGAACAACCTGGTCGTGTAGGCATGCCCATATTCTGTCTACCAACAGCCTATGCATCCTCATGTGAGAGAGTTTTACATCTCTTAGAACTGATGGCAAATTTTAGACATGCGCATCTACGACATGCTCACATGCCATAACTGCCTGACTTTTCTGGATTATAATTCACTTACTGAGTGTTTTCAGATTTTCTTTTTTATATTTTTTTTTTAGTAGTTTAGTTGTTGGTGATTTTTAACTAAAATATTATATGCCATTCTGAAGACTACTTCACCTTCTTGTGTCTGATATCATGACTCTATTCCAGGTTGTTGTCATTAACTATTAGAAATCATAGCTTAGTGTGGGTCCATTGCACTTAAGAAATTTGTTAGCTTGCCCTTAGAGTTTCATAGCCTTGCCACATCACATT